ATAACATTTCAAAAATAACCAATCAAATATTTTGAAGCTCAAATTTAGAAAGGTAGCAGTTTGTAAATACATTATAGCATAATTGCTAATTTAATATGTATAGAAAAACTCTTATAGAAATTCAAGAATATGGAATTATCACAATTTATGGGATATCAATTCACAAATAAACATTTCACAACAATGCTATAATCAATTGCAAAAATATCAATTTTTAAATAATAAGGCAGTCATTTACACATGAAATTTTACAATGTCTAAATATTCAAAACCAGTAGAAAGAAATCTTACAATTTTACTAACAGTTGAAATATCACATTTATTTATAATAATTTTACAATATCTAAAATTTTCTAACAATAGACAAGAAAAATAAATAATTTATTTCTAACAATTTACAGCATTTAAAATTTCTAACATAAATACAATATCACAATTTTATTAAACAAATTATTTTTCAAAATACAGAGGTCACTTGCGCATAAAATTTATCTTGCCTAAAGTTCTTGATAATAAGCAGAAATAATTATTTTATTTCATTTTTAAAAAGAATGGATTATTTTTCAAGATAATGAAATTACTTACACACAAAACTTATAAAATAAAGATCCTGGACAGAAATATCACTATTTATTAAAAACATACTATTTTTCAGGAAGACGATGTCACTTACGCACAAATATTTGAGAGGGAGCTTCCGATAAAAATTCGGCTAGAGAGAGGAGTTCATTGTGTTTCGACCAAAAAAAAATCTCATAAATTTTTTAAGGTAAGAGTCCTCACCTCTCTTATTTAAACTCTTACGACACCTTATTATAATATTTTATTAAGTTCTACCTCATACACGAGGTATAACCGTTACAATACCCCTTATGTGCTTAAAGCCCACGTCCACTTGACGTGGCAAAGCACGAGCAAACAAAAGAAATTTAACCAAAAGATTTTGAAAATAGTGATGGTCCCTAAAGACCATCATGCTCATATAGACCATTATTTATTTAAAAGTTTTTTTTTTTTTTTTTTTTTTTTTTTTGAAATTTTTAGAATTATTACAGGCCCATACCCTTGATATGAATAGAGCATAGGACATAGGGATGCAAATCGTCAAGTGCCAACCAATTAAGGTTGAGCTCTTTTTCTAAGCATTCCTAGTTGCCGTACTAAGAATTACTATAGTGTTCTAGAAATTTTGATGATCAAAATTTTTTTCACCAATTAATTAGAAAAATTCTATGATGATGATGATGGTGATCAAATTTATTTCTCCTAACGGCACATAATAGTTAATTCGACAATAGAATTTGGAGAATTTATGGGACTGATCTGGAGAAATTAGAGACTTTGACTTGAAAGAACTTAATAATTGCATTAGACAGGGTGGTTAGGGAAGGTCATTTGATAGAGAGAGGGTGGTCATTTGGTGGAGGAGGTAGTATCAGAGGTCTGCCAAGGCTCAGAATGGCAGAACCCATAAGAACTACTTCCCTTGAAAATAGAACTACGGTACAGTTCGAGGATTCCTATATGCCGGCCAGAGCTTTACATGTTGACAATTGTACTCTAAAGTTTTATTTGATATATTAGCAATCTATAAAGAAATTGTGTTGCGTTAGAGAGAGAGAGAGCACAAAATAGCAAGAGGACTAATGCAAACTCAAAATATTATATCAATGCAATACCGTATTTGTTTTTCGGTAATTCAGTGGGAAGACAGGTCCCTACCCTTTTTTTCAAATAGTGGGGGATTTAGTTTTTTTTTTAAGGTGTCAGTGGGATGATATCAAGGCAAACAACATCGTGTTGAATAGAGCATAGCGGTGCTATCACCATGACCCCAACCCCTTTTCGTATTTAAGAACTTCATCATTTGAGATTACGTAAAAATCTAATATAAATTAGGAAAGAGAGAGAGTGGAATATACAATAATATAAGTAAAATAGTAAGCAAAACCTAAGGAGCCATTCTTAGTATCATCAATACGACACATGTGGCCTTTGTTAATCATGTTGTCCATGAACATCTGCCAAAATGAGTGATTAAAAAAGATGCAAATTCGGATGAGGAATAAGTTTGGACTGATCTGGTTTGTAGTCGGAATTCGGAAGCTGTCAGATTTTGATACTCTCTCGGTTTTCTCAAAGAATAGAGAGTTTGTTAGGAAATTGGGCGACATTGATCCGCTGAATGGTCGAGTTTCCACCCATTTTTGTGTTTTGCCCTTTTTTTTTATCCTTAAAATTAATATTGCTATTTAATTTTGTTTCGAACCAAAGAATCGGTCCGACCCGTCCTGGATAGCTAATCTGGATTGGTCCAACCCGTAACCCAATATGGTTAGAAGTCACCTGCCAAAACAAAAGAAAAAAGATGTATCCGAATTATCCAATAACTAGGGAGAGTCTTTTCAACAAATCCGAAATGTGCATTCATATGAAAAATAAAGAGGCATTTGCTCACTTGAACAGAAAATACAATTAATTCAAAGCCTTTGGTACATTATACACATGGATGTATGGATCAACTGAGGCACATCTTATTATAATGGCCCTCTGGGGCACAAATTCATTATTGCATATTTGAGATAGGCCTAATTGGATGTGTATTCAAAAGGGATTTTGTAGAAGAAGCTCTAGAAGAACCAGTTGATCCTAGTGTGGTGCTAGTACAACTGCTGCTGGAACAAGAGGGTCCAGATTTATGGAGACTGGTCATACTTGTGTATGCAAATTGGCACTGGTCCAGAGGAGGTGCATAATACATAGCCACAGGCAACTTTGATGGAAGCACAGGCATTGATGACTGAAAATTGAGGACATGGATTACTTGCCTTATGGATGGCCTCATAGTATGCTCTGGGTGAGAGCACCATAATCCCACAACCATGAGACATTCCATTTGTTTAGCATCATAAACATCATTTAGTCTCTGATCCACTGCTTCTTGTAATCCGTCTTTTCCATAAAGCTCCCATACCCACTCCACTAGCCTCACCTTGTTGCTTTGTGCAAATGGCTCGACCGGCCTCCTACCGCAAGCAATTTCGAGGGCAACAGCTCCAAAGCTAAAGATATCGGACTCCTTGCTTGCCTTCCCAGTTGTAACACACTCGGGAGCAAGATATCCCATAGTGCCCGCGATTACAGTGGTTTGTGAGGCTGAATCATGATCCACTAGTCTTGCTAGCCCAAAATCCCCGAGCTTGGCATTAAAGTTTGAGTCTAGCATAACGTTGCTCGATTTGATGTCACGATGAACTACACATTGTTCCCATTCTTCATGGAGATAAAGCAGAGCATTGGCCAAGCCCAGGGCAATTTTGTACCTTGTTTCCCATGTTAGTTCTGCTTGCTTCCCAAAGAGGTGAGAGTCGAGGCTTCCATTGGGCATGAACTCATAAACAAGGAGTAATTCACGTTGATCGTGACACCAACCGATCAATCGAACAAGATTTCGATGCCTTAAGCGGCTTATGATAGTCACCTCCGAAACGTACTCCTTCTTTCCCTGTTTGGACCCCTTGGAGACCCTTTTCACAGCCACTGTCCCAATGCTGCCATCAAAGACCCCCTTATAGACCCCTCCGAAACCTCCTTCCCCTAACTTTCCTTCTTCGCTAAAATTCTTTGTTGCATTAACAAGCTCCTTGTAATCAAACTTTCTAGGACCTGTCCCCTTAATGAACTTATCCTCCATGGATGCATCAATATCTATCTCACTGCTCCCCTTTAATTTCAACTTTCTCCACAAGTACAACCCTATAGCCATCAATATGACTACCAAAGAAACAACACCACCAATAGTCCATTTAACCTTCTTTTTATGTATCCCCTTGCTAGCACCCATACCCATACCCAAGCCAAAATTAGACTGAAAATCCCATGAAAGAATTGTGTGAAGCTCTGTCGACCACCCAGTTGCCGCGGAGAAGCCTACAATAACCATCTCTGGTAGGATTTCCATCAAGTCCACATTGTGGGAAAGACTAGGTTGACCTGCTGAACCATCCTCACCATATGACAAACGGACTTGCAAGTCCTTAGTCGTAGCGTTATAGGCAATCCAAGCCTGTCCTTTAGATCCATTCCTAATGTTGTCTTCACAAATTACAGTAGTCACGGAAGTAATTGAATTTATATCGATACCAATGTGGTTTGGGCTTGGATCCCAGGGATTTTGATAGGTATCTATCTCCACTGCAACAACCTGTGCAGAAGAATTCTTGTCGGTGGTTTCATTATAGAGGCCTAACCACCCTCCACTCGAATTTAAGGGGATGACGGCATCAACTGGGGCAAGAAAGAAGGCAAGACCATCACCATAGTAGGTGGCATTGAGGCCATTGATGGTGAACTCAAAGTGGGTCACAAAGTCTGTCACAGTTCGCGTTTTAGAGTCCCACAGTTGAATCGGATATCGATAGATTGCCCGTCCCTCACTCTGCTGCAAGGTTCCATCGACTTGGTTGCGTGTGAGTTGGATGACGCCTTGGCCAGAGGGGAACGCATCCCCCTGGTAAATGATGCCAGGGGTGTTAGGGGGAAATGAGGTGAAATTGAAAGTAGTTGCAAGAGTGATTGTTGTGGGAAAGAGCAGAAAGATGAGAGGTAGTAAGTAAAGGGCAGTTTTGATTTGAGGGGACATGTTTTGTCAACAGGTTGGTTGATATGGTTATGAAGTTCCTTAATAACTTGGAATGGGAGAAGAGAGATGGTTGAGTCTGTTTTTCAGTTGAATCTTGGTTTAATCACCAGTCTATATGGATGATTGGTTTCTTTGAGTGTTTCTTTTTGGGAGATAGTTTTTGGAAGGAGATGAGCCGGCGGGTGCAATGTTCGACCCATGTACTAATCTAGAAACTGACTTTTGCAGCCGGCAGGTTTGTAATGTGTTTGCTTGCTTTCTTAAATTATGATGTTAAATATGTCACTTTTATAGACAATAATACAATATTGTTTTCTCAGCCTATTAAACTACCAAGCATTTTTTTGTCTTACATAACCAAAACCAGCATCTATCATTAAGATATTAGTGGCAAAGGGTCGGATGGCCCGGCCTTAAAAAACTAGGGCTAGGGCATGACATGTTCGGCCCCGTTCAACCTTATATATATATATATATATATAGTAATGATCCTACGATACCCTCCCACACCCTAGGACCCTAATTGATCATCATTAAATTTGGCACAGATCTCTAAAAAAATTATCACATTCAAATGATCATCATTAAATTTGGCACAGATCTCTAACAAAGTTATCACATAGGTATGGAACTTGACTTTTCTAGATATTATGCCAAATTTAATGGTGATCCTTTAGGGTCTTACACACATGGTTGTAGGAGGGTCTCATAGGAACAT